GGGCTGAAAAGTCAAATGGAATCGCAAATCGACCAGTTTTTGGGACACAAGAAGGTACGAATGCACGGGTGGATTGTGAGGATGAGGTTGTAGAGGCTATGGATAAGGTAGGTATTGAAGAAGTGGGAAAAGTATTCGTGAAGTTAGAGAAAAAGTGCTTCTTGCATATTTTTCAGGAAAGTGGAGGTTCCGAGTTTGTGGTCTTTCTTAATGATGAATGGCAACTTGTTAGTGAATGAAATCTGCGACATTTCAAAGCAAGAATTTTTCGGAAATCCATTAATGATTGTGGAGTTCCATGGCTGAAACTCGAATCGAACCAAGGACTCTCTTGGTGTCTTACCTGAGCATCTAGCTCGCTAAAGCTCCGTTCTTGCTGGAAAATATTTTCAAAATCACTGAACCTTTATAGATCTTACAGAGGAAATTCTTTAAAAAGGCAATCCAAAATTTTTAAAACCCAAAAAATTATCTCAAAGCCCAAAAAATTATCTCAAAGATTTTGAAACGATCTGGATTTCGTAGCAATATTAGTGTAGGTATGTGACAAAATCTGCAGAACCCCTTTGAAATCTCTGACCACCATCTTTGAAATGAGCGTCTGCAGAGTCATTAATGCCTCAGAAAATAGCTAAAAATTCTATATCTACTAAATATAATTTAGTGAATTAATTATCGTTAAGTTCCTCAGGTTTGAGGAACCAGCAATCTGTGTTCAACCACTGATCTCCGTCCGGGAGAGTGATTTTATAACTGTTTGGTCCGAGCACGAATCATATCCCTTCTGACGAGGGGATCGGATCTGAGGGTTTCTTCTCAAATCCACTCGTACCCAAGGCCTCGAGCCGTATGGAAGCCTTCCGAGCCTCTCTCACCACAGCTATAAAGTGCAAAGGGTTTACTTCTAGAAGTGCTTCCGTAGCCAGTTTGCAAGGTTTTCTAGGTTCCAGTGACTCCCAGACAGGAGATTCTCTACGCCTTTTGTCTTACCATATAGCCCAGTCAATAAAACTTTTTTGTGGCAACTAATCAGTGGAAAGCTGGATTTTTTATATGTGATACAACCTTATGAGACATGTATTTCCCCCAAAGTCCCCGCCTCTCCCCTTTGAACTTTCACCCACATTCCCCCTCAAAGGTAGAAAAAACAGAGTTTTCATATATTGATCGTAGAATGCTTATTAATTCTTTATACCAGAATGATAATTTTTTAAAAAATTGTTCCTAAATAGATGCTCTACAGTATTTGTTTTAAAAACATTTTTATTCAACCTTTGGTTTTTCAGATATACCAGTAAAAACTGAAAAAAAAAATGAAATTTTTAGTAAAACACTTTTGTTTTTGCTCTGCAACTTTGTAATTGTAAGATTAAGTAAAAATGTAAGATATAACACATGTAGCACACCTTTTAAGCTTTAAAAATATATAGTACATGTTGAACGAAAAGTCTTTTTGTTCAACATTGACACGATACTATCCCGGAAATCGCTCGCATCTTTAGAAACACATAGATGTAGACCGGGATCAAGTGTTCCATGACCGGCAATCTTTCCTGGCAAGAGGTTTACCTTATTTTTGTTGCTTGTATAGCCACAAATAAGAATTAGAACAAAAAAGGTTCTGTATTTGATTCTGTCTGAAAAAAAATGCAAAAAACCAAATACCTATAAACACACCTAAAATCTGTACTTACATAGAATGATTTATTAAAAGGTAACGTTCCTACATTTATAATTTGTTTGTCTTATGGCCATTTGCACCGGCTAATTTAAGTGGAGCTTAGCTTAAGCGTAGCTTAAAATCCATGGCAACGATTATTGAGACAAATGGTTGCCATGGATTTTAAGCTACGCTTAAATTTGTCGGTGCAAACGGCCATTACAGTCTAAATGCTTAAAAATGGAACAGTTATGCTTTTTCTGTCATATTCAACAGAAGTTTTTCTTATTAACCCCCCAAATATGATCTTCCATTCCATCATGCTTCCAGCGTACGGGCCTTGGTAACGTGTCCAAATTCCATTATGTCTTGATGAAAGTGTTCCCCTTGTTCTTCCGAATAAGCTCCCACATTATCCTTAAATTGATCTAAATGAGAATGTAACCTGTGTGCATGTTTAGTAGAGACATTCTATACCCGATGCTGATACAAAAAAACTGTGAGCTCGTCGTAATTTTCATCTCTATAGTTTCCCAGGAAACACTGAACGGGAAACCATGGACTATTGCCTTAAAACTGTTCCAGGATTTTTTCCTCTTTCCTAAGTAACCGCGAAAAAATATCACACACACACTCCATATTTCGTTTTATTTGAGGAAAAACAAAGATTCCAGCCAAAAGCCCTTTTACGTGCCCATAGACATGTAGTGGCCTTTTCGCTTATTCGCTCGATGTGCCATTTCTAAGTCAGGCGGGAGTCTATGATGACGCCCAAATATTTTACTGACTTGGTCAGAACCATATTTGACGTCCTCGAAGAGTGAGCCCATCAAAGTTCGCTTTCCTTTTATTCGTAAAAGGGGCAACCTCTCGGTCTTTTCGGAGTTAACGGACAGGTTATTGGCATTGCACCACTTATCCATCAAAAACTCGCTGCGGACATCATCCAGTGACCGTTGAACTCATTTCCATCGTCCCGATTGAGGATATAATGACTTTGCTTCCGAGCATGGCGTGAATCCATCTTACGATTGACCCATCAATGCCAAAGCCTTCAGCAGCCTCACTAATGGAATCGAACGTGGTGTTGTGAAACGCACTCTCCATATCTAAAAAATCTTTATCATTCATAACCGGCAACTTCTAAGTCTAAGGCATCAGCAATCGGGTGGTAACTTTATACTTAGGCACAAACATCTGTGTCTTGGGCAAAAATCTGTGACTTGGGTATTATCATTGTATTATAATATACAATGGTATTATTTCGTATAACGTCCTTGTTTTATAGGTAGAAAGTGCCTTATAATAGGCAACTTTACATACTCCTTTCTGATATAAAATTCATCTACTGTCTAACATCCCCCATTGAACTGCAAAAAAATTCTAACGTTGACAAGATTCGGTATCTGTGTGAAACATGAAAGCATTCATAAATGCAATACCTATTTCGCACGACCAGAGAAAATCGTAAGATTTCCAATTATTCCGCGGAATGTAATATTCGACCACGTTCTAATGTTGAAAGAAAGCTGCGTTTGGTCTACATTCGATTTAAGCACTTTTTCGCGAGGCGAACATGCTTCGAATATTTTGGGGCGAACGCCACGATAAAACGTGTTTTTTGAAAAGTCATGAAAAAACTGCTCGCACCGTTGTGTCTCTAAATAAGTAGGTAGGTACCCTTAACCCGGCTTAACCAGTAGGGGTGATAGGTAGATATTTTTCTAGGTGGAGCTTAAGAAAAAAGACCATCAGATTATTAAGGAACTTCAGATCCTGTACTGCCTACAGTTTTGTATGGTTGTCCGTCCTTTTGCTATAATTCTTAGTTGAGATCCCCAGATACTTTTTATAGCTTTTAATTTTTCTCCGTCCGTCCGTCCACCGATTCGTCTGCGTGTGCGCTCTCTTTTTAAAAGTAGCCGATTATGGTGAAATTAGGTGTACGGGTACTTTGGAAATTATAAGGTAGAACACTATTGGGAAGCATTATCTCAATGTCCAAGACATGAATTTGATGCATGTCTGTTGACCATAATCATTTTGATCAAAACATATCAAAATCGTTTTTCTTTCACCGAGATCGTTGGGATAAAGTCCAAGAGCATTATCTCAATGCCGAACACATAAATTTAATATGGATCGAAGTTGCAAGGTTAAAATAATTGGTCGTTAAAAAAGCGATGGTAATACTGAGGATCCTCCGATATTCCGTTGTATCGGTTTATTATAACGGGCGATCAAAAATGAGTTGCTGCAGGTCGCTTTTGAAAGTTCAATTTCAAATAATTAATCTATAAATAAAGTTTTGTAGTCGGCGAGTAGTCTTATAATTATCTTCTTGTTACACTAAAAATTGTTTATAATAATATGGCATGATAAATCGCCATGACAACAGCCAAGATGGCATACAAACAAAGCTAGAAATCCAGAACTATTGATGTCTTGACAATCATTTAGGTACTTGTAGAAATGCTGCAAGTTCTAACCGATGACACAAGTGTTAGGGCAATTTTTTTCTTATTTTCTAGTGAATCTGCCACATATCCCTCTGCTACTACGTCAGTTTTCCAATTGCCGTGTCTTTTAAGCAGAATTTCTGAAAATGTAATATTATTTTCATGTTGAAAAACCCCCAGATTGATATATTCAGTGAATTTTGTTAGTTCCCCTATGGAATACCCACAAACATATACCTAGTCAGTTATAGCCTTCTGTCCATCACATGGTTCTTGAGAAGAAATTATGGAAGCCCCCCAAATTTGGAAGATGGAACTATAACCACTTTTATTTTACTATATCTCTTTCCTTCTCTAAAGCCGGCTACAGACACACGTGCATTCCTTGAGATATGTACGCGCGTACAAAAATTCAAGCATTGACTGAGTACATCCTCGAGAGATATTGTCTACACACCGAAGGATATGTACATATCTCAAGAACTGTACGTGTGTCTGTAGCCGGCTTAAGACTTTACCAAAGGTGGCAAAGTAAACAGGAGTTGAGCACTTTTGTTTTGTCATGAGACATTACAATATTAAGCAGCAAAGCAAAGCAACCTTTGTCAAATCCAATTATCACGTAGGGTCACATCACTGCGGCTTTTATAGATCCGCTTTACAGGTGATTTATTATATTTATAGTGTCTGTGGCGTCCTCCAGTAGTTTACTCAAAGAGGAAGATTTTATACTCTGACCAACAAAATAATAAACAACAAATAGAGGAATCGAAGACGTTCTTACAGTGGTACCATAATTCAGTACATGTTCAACATTCACAAACATGAATACAATTATTTTATCTACATTGTACTCCTTTTTCGAAAAAATATAAACTAAATAGAAACAAATACATCTATTATCCATATTATAGTATCAAATATTTCATGTAAGAGTAATACAAAAATGCAAATGTACACTGCATTAGAAAAAGAAAAGTGCTTTCCGTCTTTACAATATAAATTAAATTAGTCCCTCATTTCACCCTCTTCGTCATCTTCCTCAGCGCCACGAATGTATAAGGTATTATTACATCGTATTAATACTTCGCCCAAATTACCTAGAAAGTGAACAGTTTTACTACAATTCGAGATTTTCTAATTTGTATACCTGTAAATGTTCCGTCGATATATTCTTCTGTATTGGCTAATTGAATATTCATGTAGCCATCCACAGAAACCAAGTACCCCTTGTATTCTTGGCCCCACTTCAATTTTACCATCACCGCTTTACCTGTTAAACCATTCAGGTAAGGTTTGGGATTAATTGGCATAGCAGTAGACATCCTTGAAGGTATTTATTTACTTCCTCGAGTTGAAATAGCGGTTTTCATGAAAAAATTGACATAACCTCACAAAGCAACGTTTTTCGGTGTATGTCTGACCGGCTAGCAACGTTGCCAGAACGGTGGCTAATGTTCCTACATTCTCCGACTATGTGCATTCGATAAAGCCCGCATGACATGGAGCAATAAAAATTGCAATTGCATGCAAGTTGCAAGAAAAATTGCGAAAGGCATGCGCAGTTCAAAGCCAGCTGATCAATTGCTACAAGAGACTTACATGCAATTTTTATAGGACCGGTGCTATTTTTCTTGCATGAATCGTGCAATTCTAGGGATAAATCTAGTTGTTCTTGTGGCACCAACCTAGTAAAATACAGCGGCGGCAACTGTGATGCTGAGAGACGCACTCATTACTTGTTTTTACTAATCTTATTTATTCTTGTAATTTTCATGTTTCTTCAAGCAATCAAAATTTAATTTTCATTTGAGGTTAACAACTTTGTTGACAAATCCATATGATTCTTCTGTTGGCAGACATGTGGCAATTGAAATAGAATTGCACCATGTCAAATACCATGCAATGCTATTGCATGCAAGGATTTGACCTTGCAATTTCTTTCTGCAAGTTCTTGCGCGTTGTATTGCTCCATGTCAAACGAAATGTACCGGGCAATCTCAAAACTGGTCCTAAGCAGAATTCTATCAGCGTTTTCCGTAACTAATGAAATAGACATTAATTGTTACCATATCCTCACTTGAATTTGATACTTTCATGTACAAGTAGAAATCAAATTAATACTGTTGTGTGGATACGGCGCAAACCTATAATCTTTGTCCTTCCTTCAAGACGCTAACCATGACAAAATTATATTTAAACTTTAAAGGCAGTCTAGTGCTTAGATCATATATATTGACACATTTTAAATCTGTGGAAACCTTGTGTTAACATATGGCGTTTAACAAGGATTACAAAACTTTTTGGATGGTATAGTTACATCTGTTAATTTAGTGTAAAAAGATATTTGGAGTCGTAGAACTATAAAAGAACAATTCAAAATTAGTTTTAGATTGTACAGAAGTAAAGGAAACTCGTGAAGTCCTTGTGTTGTAGAATACTTTTCTATTCCCATTATAAAGGATATGGAAGACCATACCACACATCACCAAATCAACACCAATGTGAGGATATGTACCATAATCACAATCAGCACATGTAAAATCCTTAGAACTTTATGACGTTAATTTATGTTTTAAAATGTGTCGTTTGAAGTTGCCTTTAACATTTGTCCCATAATCACAATCGGCACATTTAAAATCCTTCAAAACTTTATGTTTCAAAAGATGTTGTTTAAGGTTACGTTTATTATTTGTCCCATAATCACAATCAGCACATTTAAAATCCGTCGTAACTTTATGTTTTAAACGATGTTCTTTAAGGTTGCGTTTATTATTAGTGCCATAATCACAATCAGCGCATTTAAAATCCTTCGAAACATTATGTTTTAAAAGATGTTGTTTGAAGAGCTGTTTATCATTTGTCCCATAATCGCAATCGGCACATTTAAAATCCTTAGAAACTTTATGTTTTAAAAGATGTTGTTTAAAGTTGCCCTTAGCATTTGTCTTATAATCACAAACACCACATTCAAAATCCTTCGAAGCTTTATGTTTTAAAAGATGTTGTTTTAAGTTGCCTTTTAAATTTGTCTCATAATCACAATAAGCACATTTAAAATCCTTAAACAGTTTATGTTTCAAAAGATGTTGTTTGAAGTTGCCTTTAAGATTTGTTTTATAATCACAATTAGCACATTTAAAATCCTTATAAACTTTATGTATTAAAAGATGTCGTTTGAAGACATGTTTATCATTTGTCCCATAATCACAATTAGCACATTTAAAATCCTTAGAAAGTCTATGTTTCAGAAGATGTTGTTTAAGAGAATATTTATAATTTGTCTCATAGTCACAAGTAGCACAGTTAAAATCCTTAGAAATTTTATGTTTTAAAAGATGTTGTTTGAAGTTGCCTTTAACATTTGTCTTATAATCACATTCACCACATTTAAAATCCTTCCAAACTTTATGGTTTACAAGATGTTGTTTGAAATTGCTTTTAACATTTGTCCCATAATCACAATAGGCACATTTAAAATCCTTAGAAACCTTATGTTTTAACAGATGTTGTTTTAAATTCCATTTATTATTAGACCTATAATCACAATAAGCACATTTAAAATCTTTAGAAACTTTATGTTTTAAGAGATGTCGTTTATTATTTGTCTCATAATCACAATCTGCACATTCTTCAGGTACTATTTTACCCAGAGTTAAAAGGCGCTGTTGAAAGTGTTGTACTTCTTCATTACAAAGAGATTTATGATGAGATTTACAACATGGCTTACTGTAGGTAATTTCATCCTTTACGGTCACCAAAACTTCGTTGCTTACTGAAATGTGTTCCTGAAGAAAATAATGGATTTCTTCTTCGTGTTTTGGTTCGATTTTAATGGGTAATGTGTCATTATCTCCATCCATTCCTAACAATTAGGTAATGTTATAAATTAAATGTGTTAAAAATCTATTTTGGTATTAAACAATAAAGAAAGAGGTCCTAGAGCAACCAATTAGTACTTATTTAGTTTCCTAGTAACAACATTTGTTAACTTAAGACTATGTTAACTTGGCCAATTTACATGTGCCAAAAAGGTAGATAACCTCTTTGTCGCCTTCAGATCTTGAACTCATAAAAAGTTTCTCATTCTTCCAATGGTAATTCAGTAGTTAATCAAACAAAATCTAATGCTAAGTCGAGTGCTAAGTGGAAGTGAAATATACGTTTATTAATTATTTTTAGTTTTGCTCTTATGTTTAGAAACTGTAATGTAAAACCTTTGTTTATTAAACAATGGTAAAACAACTTACCTAAAATACATAAAAGTCTACGAGATATATCACACAGACCATCATCTATCACTTATGTCCTTAAAATGGCACGTGAAATGTGAATATAGCCACTTTACTCTCAAATACAGCGTTGCCAAATTATATAGATCATACCGTCTTGTCAGACTTGAAAATACAACCACTTTTTTTTAACCTACCTGAAAGGCTTTTTTCTTACGAATCTGCAGCTGTCCTCAATTAGCGTGAAACAATTAACCTACTTTTCTAATAACAAATAAAGAGCACATTTCATCATTCAATTTCTAGGGCAGTCGTATGTTGGGTATAGTGTATGTTCGTAGTTTCTTGCATTTTTACGAAGTAATAACGCCATTTCTTATTAAAAATAGTGATATTTACATTTTTGAAATCTAAAAAACTGCAATACTTCCATAAGAAAAAACAAAGTTGATGATGAATAACTGGAGACGAAACGTCTGATTTAAAATTTAAAACTAGCATCTTTTACACGGTAAAAAAGTGGTCATAATAATGTGCCATTTAATTTGAAATATCTTTCAGTATAAAAAATGAAAACGATTTTGCACAATTTCGTTTTTTCAGGATATCTCTGAAAGTAGTGGGTATTTTTTTAATTTCAAAACTGCATTTTGTTAAGCATCAAAATACGCAACTGTGCCAAATTTAAACTACCTACCTATTGTACTTATCTCTTACAGTTTCCGAAATTTCCATGGTGGCCCTCGAATTTGAATCAGCCTGTATAGTACAGTCAAATTAGACAAAAAATTGGCAACTTTTGCAGTAGATATACAATGTGCCCCAGGTATAACGACCATGCGGGACGCGGGCCCTGGTGCGTCGCACCCCCTGTTGTTACGTCCCTGAAGTAGGTAGGTACTAAAAATGGGGTATACATGGTCAGTAACAAACATTATGTTTTCTTGATAACGGAACGTCCTGTATATTATTCGTATTTTAATATTAATATACATAGGTATTTATCCGGTTTTTGGAATATCTAATTTTAAAAATCATGTTCTACAAAATTTAATTTAAAAGTTGGCTTGCCAGTAAAATAAACCGTTTGAAGCACGTTGTTTGCAAATGCACAAAATAACATTTGATAAATGATAATCAAATTCACGTATTGTAAGTAATTTTTGTGTGTTTAAATTCGTAATTTAAATCTATAATCCATATTTTACACGTTTGCCAACTTGAACGAATAACGAGTCATGTTTTGCAATTGCGACGTTTTTGTTGCGTAAAGATCATGTTTTGTTCATGTCAAAGTTCAGTAGGAATCAAATTATTGAATATGTAACGAAACAATTTTCGTAATCTTTTTTGAACAATTTATTATCTTTTAATACCAAGTGTACTTGCCACATTCTCACACTACACGTAAAAGCTTACAATACATAAAAGGTAAAAGTTCCATACTACTAAAAGGCTTTGTAATACCGCTTTAGTAATAGTCGGGGACAGGTGCACATGCAATTTTAACGAAATCTTCATATCGTACCATACTGTTGTTTGTAACGTTGGCCTCACGGAATATACGATCAACCTCTTTCGATGACAGACACTCGCCCCAATTCTGTAGTAGATGTCTCAGCTGCCTGGCCGAGATGACACCGGTTCCAGTGGGATCGGCTGCCTTAAATGCATTAACTATTTCCCTCGGTAGATCTTCTAGTCGCGAGTGAATGTGCATAACTTCCAAAAAATCGGCAAAAGACATTTTTCCTTGCTGCAATATTGTTTACAATGCAACCCCCAGTTTAGAAGGTGAACGCTCACCTTTTGTTTTAAATAGCTTGTCAGTTCCGAAATCGTCGGCGAAAGCCCGAGACTTCGCATGATAACGGTCAGTTCATCCAGGGATTTGATTTGGCCCGATCTCGCGAATAAATAGAAACATTCTCTGAACTCTGAAATGATTAGTGCATGGTAGATACTAAAGAGATTATGATCATTAGAATGGTCGTGCTAACATACCATCAATGTCCTGTTCTTTGAAATAGCGAGCCTGCAAATGAATAATAATTATTTCTCACATGATTTCGTGTAAAATCAGATGTTACCATTGTGTTTCTTTCAAGTGGTTGACGTGTCAGACAGGTCACTAACACACAGGTGAAAGTACAGGTGATAGAGGTGTGTACAGTTCCTCCTAAATAATTTCAACCAGTTTGTTTACTAATATTAATTACAAGGTTAAATTTGGTAAATTTCCCTAATTTTGGATTAAATGCGTGCAAAAATTGAATGATCACTGTCAGCTGGTTGAAATACCTCAGGTAGATATGCGCTCAGTAGAATATTTAGGGAAGGTTTATCTATATTTATTTTAGAATTATCTATTTGTTTTAAGCGTTGATTTTAAGTGTTTAGAGCGGAATTACAAGCAGTATTTTTGTAGTGTACTACTTCGAAACGATAATGAGGTAATTTGGAGTCTTCCAGTCATGGCTACGAAACAGAAGGGAGCCCCCGAAGACAACTTCAATAATGCCAGCGTGGTCTTAACAAGCTTATGTGCCGGTGCCATCGCAGGTGCCTTAGCGAAAACTACTATCGCACCATTAGATCGTACAAAGATTAATTTTCAAATTAGGTAAGTATGCGGCTTGTTGCTGTCGCTTAATTGCTTGGATATGATTGCAGACAAGAGCCGTATTCTGCTAAACGGGCACTTGAATTCCTAAGACTGACTTTTAGAAATGAAGGGTTTTTAGCGTTATGGCGAGGAAACAGTGCAACGATGGCACGTATTGTCCCCTATGCTGCTATACAATTTACGGCACATGAACAGTGGAAGAGGATTTTACGAGTGGATGCAACGGGGTATGTAAGTAGTAAAAGTGCCTTTACTATATAACTAATAATACTGTTGACACCTTCATGACGAAATCATTGTTAATTGTTTATACCTGTAATCAATTTCCATTTGTGAAGCACGTACTTGGGAGAACATTTTAGCACTAACTTACACAGCAAGCAGTCCAGGCCCAGGTTCGGGTAATTCAGTCTCGGTAAAAGAGCTAATTGAATATGAAACAGGATTTGTATACAAATCTGTTTGGGAAATTTGTCCACTATTTAATTACAATACATAATGAACACATTAATACATTATTGTTGGGTAATTGGTTTGCCTTTCATTAAGTAGATATGTTCAGTGATGTTGCTATCAATATCTATTATCTTTTGATAGTGTACTCAGTTGAGCCAGTGGTTGTGATGTTTCCTTTAAAACGCGAGGGGGGGGGTCATCCCCTGACAAATTTATAAAAATTTGATACTCAAAACGCAATTTCGGCGCTTTAAATTGGTAAAAAAAGTGTTTGTGGATAACATACGACCTTCAATTCGCTTGATGTATAATTATTATGTCCAGTGGCGCCTTGGTTGAGAGTATATGCTATATGCCTAAAAAATCCTTGAGAGTATACCCTATGGGAACACCACTGGATATGTTATACAGGGTGTAGAACTGATAACCCAATATATGGACGTCAATAGTAAAATCAAAATATGTTATTTATTTCTTCAACTTAGAAAATGGTTACAACCTTCTTAAGACTATTAAAAAGTTTTAATGGCCCATAAAGTCTCTTAAAAGTTATTAAGCGCAGAGTATTTCATTGTTGGGGTTTAGAGAAATTGGTGATTGACACTGACTTGGGGAAGAAAATTAATTCTGTTCAATAATGAGGCGCATACAAGAGATTCATCAGGTGTTTCCTTGTAAAAGTTACTGTTTTGTTTGCATTTTTGTTCACGATATCATCTGTCCTTATTGCTTTAAAGATGCGCTCACTGTCAGTGGCGACTGATGATAACAATGATTAAATGATAATAACTAGAGACCGGATTTCATGCTTTTACGCAATCCGTAAATATTGTATGCAGCTCAAAATAAAACAATTATTTACACGAACTAACAAAAAGGAATCACATTGGCGCAAAGAAAACAGTGCATATTTTGCATTTTTGGGATTTTTGTGCATATTTAAGAAAGATTAGCATTTTATTAACTTTTTAAACCTTTTTTATTACAAAACAAGTTTCCAATGGTAGTAATTGCAACAATTATATTTTTATTTGTAAATTATAAAGATAAACAAATAATAAATCAAATAAAATAAGCATTATAAAATAGAAACAGAACAAAAGAAAACAATAAAAATTGAAAAAAAAAATAAAAAAAAAACTAGAAAAGGAAAAGAATAAAAAAAAATAAATGAAATAAAAAAAAATATGGCGCCCAAGTTTATCGGCGGTGTTCACTTCAGCCTTAATTTATACTGCACTCACATTTTCAAGTTCAACAAATGAGATGACGAATGTTGGCTGGGGAAATGTTGAATTAAGGAAATTTCAATGATTTTTGTGCATTATTTAATTTTTCATGCTTTTTTGCGCATATATATGTGCATTTTTGACTTATTTTCATGCATATAAGTCCGGTCCCTCTTATAACTAACTCTTGTAAGGCGCGCGTGCGAGGGGGTGGCTTTCTTTTTCTTACGTATCGGTGCAGCACCTATACTTATTTGTAAAGGTACGAAATTAATAAGTTATCGAAATCCGTGATTCAAAATTTAAAAAACAGTTCATTTTTCACGCCAACATCGAAATGTTATTGTTCTCGGAGGGTGGGGTTTTTGTGTAAAGTGCGAAGTGATCGAAATTCAATTACTTGCTAAAACTGAGGTCGCCTTATTAAGGAAACGCGCGCGGATGTTCAAAAACTAGATAATTTTATTTGAATGGGAGAAAATCTGGCGGAAGCGCATTAACTAAATTACTTTCTAAAGTAGACGAGAACGAGCCAAAATTACACGAATGAAAATTCGGGCGATGCGAAAAAATAAGATGTTTTCATTTAAGATTAAGTTCTTTTTCTAACCTCCCCCACGCATATTGTAAATATAACGTACGGAAGCGACACAAAGGAAACTCTTGTAATTTAAATTTTTTCCCATCAGTTGAACAAACAATGAAAACTAAATAAGAACCTTGTCTTTTATATTTATATAAAAAGAGGATATTAGAAACGAGCGTAACCCGGCCACGCATTGTGGACGAGTCGCATTTCTATGTCAACACTTCTATCTTTAAACGCGAAATACGTTAATAAAAACTGTCAAGCCTCTACCTTAAAATTAATTATACATCAAACATGAATGCTCATCATTTATTAATATATTTATTGTATACCGTAAGGTGTAAGTAATTAGTTGAGGTGGAAGTGCCACGAAACCCTTAACGCGATGCGAAATTTCCGCTATAACGACAATTAAATTTCCAGAGTATTGTTTTCGAACGCGTTCGTCGAGTATTTTCGAAATGTTCTCGAACAAATTAGTCGCTAAGGTTAAATTTACAAGTTACGGTCCGAAAAAGTCAAAAAACGGAACTTTCTAATTTTTTGAGACGTCGACTTGGGTTTACGTGTAAAAATATCAGCCACCTGCGATTTGCAATCCCTAAGAAAAGTGACCCCAACTTTGGGGTAGCCGCTCCGGAACTGAAAGTGACAGGTGACCCAAATGTAGGTACACTGTACACGCTCTAATTCTTCTTCTTCCTCTTCCAACAAAAATAACCGCATGTCGCTATCTCGCTAAATAATTTTTATTGAGTCATGTAGGTGTTTATGCGGTTTATCGCCCCTTAAAGGCTCAAAATGGGCCCCGCCACTGAAAACCGACTGCATTTTTGAATTCTTTGACTTTCAAAAAATGCAGTGGCGTAGCATCCCCAATTGGCGCCTAGGGCAAATATTAAAATTGCGCTCCTTAAAAAATTACCTTAATATAAAACCAAGATACAAAGAATCGCATACGATTTTCAATAGGGGAATTTTTTGTTCAGTGTAATTAAAACACCTCGCATTCCTAAACGCGACTTTCAATCCGGCTCACATTCAATAGCACCATTGAATAAAATTTTTTTTATTCAATTAACTTCATTAAATCTTCAATTCCTCACCCGTGTAGGGTCAGGAAAGAATACCCCTACCGCAGATGGCACTGCGTGTCGTAAGAGGCGACTAAACAACTGAACTCATTTGTTTTCTACAAAAATCTAAGTGAACTTCTAATAAAGATAAATAATTATTACAACTCTTTTGTGATAGAAATGTCGTCTGTTGCAAAATCTTATCCTAGCGCATAATTCTGATGCCGACAAAATTGTTACTATAGAAAGTCTTCAAGCCTATTGGGCAAAATTTCATTATGGCCCTGAACACTGAATTTTATTTCCACTCGTGCAAAATCGGCGCATAATCTGTATATAAAATAATAAAGAGTTGCATAAAATGAACTGCACATCTGATTTTTAGAATATGCGATATGTTTGTCTTTACTAGAAGCATATTTAATTAAAATTTCAACAAAATATATTAATAAATAAGAAAATTGATATTGCACACCCGGATGTGCATGCGCACATTAATCGTTAAGAATTTTCATGGTATGGTTTAACTTCCTTCTCCATTTTCTTACAATTTTCTCTTAAGTTTTCATCGTTTTTGCTTTTTACGTCGCACCTACCTGGATTTTACTTACGACCCACGCATATAGTATCTTTATTAACAAAATTGACAGTGACGAACCTACGCCGTGGATGAGTTTCTACATTATCGGCTTGTGAAATTCTACCTACATTAACCATGCATTCGATCAACATTAATATCTACTTCGAGATTTAATATCCGATTGCCTCCGTGTCAGACGTTAGCATTGTTATTTCGCAATATTTTATGTGCAGTGAGATTCACTACCCGCTTTCATTTGTTTGTCGTGTTTTGTTTGTTACACATTTGCTGAACGCGTCCTTTCGATACAATTGAATTGAAATGATTACATTACTTCACTATAACAGGTTAGGTTTCAATTTCAGAAAAATACACCGTGAAAATTTTGTCTATAACATTGAACAACGTTTTTTTAAGAAGTTTTTATGGTATCCAAAATTACACAACGTTTGCTACTAATCTATAGGGACTTCTAATATGTTGTCAGTGGCGTGCTTCTGCACGGTCAAAGAGGGGATATTTTTTTACTGGTAACCACTAGTTTATTGTATCAAAAATCATTTAAAAAAAAGTAAATCTACATGCTTAAAAATTATTTATAGTGGCGTGGTCACTTTTTTTAATACAACACAAATACATGATCAAATAAGTACAATTATGAAATTAATTAACAAACTGTTTTCTTTAATTTAAGTTCTTCGCTTAAATTTGATTATGCAATATAATCAGTTTTGTATGTTGCTATATAACAAAATATGCCCCATTTGACTATGCTGAGGTACGCCATTGACTACGATTGGTAGCAAACTTTTCATAGTTTTGGATACGCGAAAAAACTTAATTAAAAAATGTTGTTTTGAAGATACATTCAGTGTTCCTAACCTAATTTTCACCACGTATACAGGGTGTTAATTTAATTTTGTCCACTATTGCTATCTTGAGAACTATAAGAGCGAAATGGTCGGTTAAATTATCAAACAATTTCCATTTTACAAGACTATTTTTATGAGCACAAAAGATATTTTTTTCAACCAGTGGTTCACAAACTTTGTTATTTTAAACGGAATTATATTTCTTTTATTTCCTTATTTGGTGGAAAATTTTATTCTGAATTTAGTGATGTAAAATTTGTATACTTACATAACAATTTTTATAAGAAAAATGCCTGTGAAGATTTGTATCAGTTTCACTTTAAAATTGATAAAATAAGTGTGCCAGGGTTGATACAAATGAATGTGGAAAACAATTACTTTGAAACAAAAACACATCAAATACATTCATTTACAAATATTGCTCAAATTGTTCTCAATTTTTGTTAATTAATTCTTCGGAACAAAGTACCTCTTACTGATCTCAACGTCCGGCCATCAATATTATTTAAAATATTTTCTGTGTTGTTTTTAGATGTTATAAATCTAGATAACGTTATCCTTTAAATAACCCCATTACAAAATTCTAATGGATTTAAATCCGGCGACCTGGCGTACCATGAAACAAGGGTAAATGATTCGGGAACATATCGTTTAATATTGCGTTACTTTTTGCGGATTGTGGGCAGGTGCACCGTCTTGTTGATAATATAAATCTCTTACAAGGACACATTATCTAGCATATTTGCCAACGCGTCTCTTAAAAATTGTAAATACCGATCACTATACCTTCATTCATACGTTAATTTAACTGACCTCGTAGCTCTTATAATTCTCGAGATAGCACTAGTGGACAAAATAAAATGAACACCGTGTATACGGCCTGCCTGGATTGTGACTTTCCTTGCTAATTATTTGGGAAAATTCAGCAATATCCCTTTGGTATTTGATGATTAACTTTTTAACTGTCTTCATTTCCAGTAATATTGGAAATACAATTGTAGCAGTAGGTACGCTTTCATGCTATAAAGGGTAAAATACTTATTTTGCAAGAAACGTTTTAATCAATAAGACCAATTAGGCGTGAGTAACAATAAATAATTAGAAATAAGACTGATCGGAGGCAATTTATGAAATAATTAAAATCGAATACAGTAAAAGGGATTAAAACAAAAATACCCTCATTTTTTATCTTGAAGTTCTGCTCGGATTTCTTTCGTAAAAATTATTTTTTATTCCGTCCGTTAAGTATTATTAATGAACGCACGACACCTTTAAACGTCTATTGCTTGTTACGGAATTAAAAATAATATTTCAATTCGCGAAACGGTCTCATTTTCTTCCTTTAATGACAAGAGGGTGGGTACTTACGAATTAAATCCCCAAGATCTTGGCTTACCTGAAACAAACAAAAAATCGTTAATAAGCGTAATCGTGTCGTGAACTACTCAAAGTTTTATAGGTGGATTTATCCGTTTTATTGCTTTAAAAGTTATTAGAGAAAAGGAGGCACGTGACGGATGCTGGCTGTATAAGGAGGACAACTCTCGTCTTGTTTCTCGTTCCACAAGGGTCAAATAACGGCCTGCCTGTCCTGAGGCCTTCATACCAAGAAATTTT